TATGGCTATATCTTGAATGATAACCGAAACTGAAGCCCCAGATGACCAGCCTTCAGCCCATCTCTGGCTCTTTTGGTCTCCAATGACTTGATTATCAAGATCATTGGCGACTCTGAAAAAGTTGGCCATGGCAAAGACCGTTGGCTTTTTGCCAGCGACTTGATGAGTCAATCACCGAAGCCGAGATGACTTTTTTTTCTCTAGAAGTGAGTTCCATCAAAGACAGTCCTCTCAAAGGGCTTGAAAAAAAAAACGGGTTGCCCCCAATTCCGATGATTTTTAATGATTTTCCCCATGATTCAATAGGCGTGACTTGGGTTTTTTTCCACATTTGTTTCGGACAACCACATCAGATTGCTGATCAGATTGCTGGCTCTCCCAGTAGATCGAATAAACAATCCCGCAAACAACAATATGATGTATTCCATTACCCTCTGGTTATTTAACAGTTCGCCATGGAAAGATCCACCATTTTTAAGTTCGGTAAACCATCTATTTCTATGGGCCATCTATACCATGGCTATGTTAACCAGATGGTATAATTTGTAGAACCCCCGTTTGGCTTAAGACTGCTTTTACCGTTTTGGTGCAGGAGGGGGGGGTATTGGTGCACGGCTGGTGCGCGGAAAAGGAAAATAGGGGCAAGGGTGGGTCTGGGAAGGGAAAAATAGGTGCGGGAGTGGGTTCTTGCCAATCTATGGATCCAGTCAGGATCCCGTCGGGACCCAGTCGGGCACCAATTTTTGCATTTTTGGGCACCGCTTTTGGCCAGTCGGGATCCAGTCGGGATCCAGTCGGGATCCAGTCGGGCACCAATGTCGGGAGGCAGCCAAATTCATAAAAAATAGCATTTTTGCAGTGTTTTTGCATGTTTTTCGGTGATTTTGGCTGCTTCCCGACAGGTCCAAACGTGGTGCCAAAAATTCGAAAATTGGTGCCCGACTGGATCCCGACTGGATCCCGACTGGCCAAAAGCGGTGCCCAAAAATGCAAAAATTGGTGCCCGATTGGGTCCCGACTGGGTCCCGACTGGGTCCCGACTGGATCCCGACCCGGTTTCTTCAAAAAAACACCTATTTCCTTAAATTTGAGCACCTATTTTTGAAATTTTAGCACCTTGCCGTGCACCACCCCTTCCCTCCGTTTCCCCCTCCGGACCCCCCCCCCCACCAGTCTTAAGCCAAACACGGGCTTGGCAAGGTATAATGTACAACAAGATGATGTATTTCCCCATGATCCAACCATGAAATTATCCATGAAATGGTGGGTGAATTTGGACGGTGATGAGTATCATTATCATGGTTAGAGTTTTTTTTTAATGTAATGAGGTATTATAAGGATATAACAATACATGAGTTAGACATAGCTATAAACATGATGATGATCATCCTTGTCGTAAGTGTTATCATGGTTATCATAGTTAGGTATTTTTATCGTTATTGTTATATATATATATATATTGATATGGCTGTTGATATGGTTGCTGTCATGATCATCGCTGCAGCTAGTGTTATTGCTACTGTTATTGCACCAATAACCACATTTCGTAATAAACAACATCTGATAGGCATTGTACCACTCACCACATTTTTGGAAAACACCATAAAACAAATGATCACTCTGGTTATACTATATTAGTACTATACCATACTATAGCAATGAGAATCATTATTGTACTAATAACATCTAATAACCAAACCTGATGATCTTGATCATGATCGGTTCTGCTGCGCCATGAAATGTCCAGGAGTACCGTGGATTGGGCATCATGCCCTAAGAGCTGCACAGCAGCATGCCCGGGGCTGAATTTTCAGATGGTTTCCTTTTTGGAGTTTCGTGACTTAGTACATGTTCATATTACTAGATGCTACCCTCTGGTTATGTCAAAATAGCTATTGAAAATGGCCATTTATAGTGGATTTTCCCATAAAAAATGGTGATTTTCCATAGTTATGTTAGTTTACCAGAGGGTAATTCTAGGAATCTCTATTAGATGAGTAGTATTAGTATTATTAGACTTTTGGAAGTGACTGTGGGCCCAAACAGGCACCAGTCACAATGCAACTTATGTTTCTTGCATGGACGATGAACATAAGCTGAATCCCTGGGTGAGGGCTGTTCTGTTTTTTTTGCGACAGATTCACAGGGTCTCACGACGTTTGGTTATTTTGCGAGTGTCATGCCAAGTGTGTTGCAGATGCTTCCTTTTGCTTGCGGATTTGCGGATCCTTCGGTAATCGACAAGGGTGTGAGTTGCAGTAACGCCTCGGCAGGAAGCAGTGGCACAGGTGGCTGTAGAAAGTGCACATGCCAGCCATGATGTGCCTTGGCGGCATCAGGAGACCCACTTGGCGCCGTAGCGTGGGAGAGGGACAAACAGTTACCAGTTTCCATTTGGGTTCTCAAATGAGCATCTTTGATTCTCACAAACATGAAGGGAAACTAAAGGGATCAACGTTTTTCATCAGCATTCACCAAAAAAAAAAATCCTGCGATTCATGGCATTTTCTGATTGGAAACCAGCAATCCTCGTAGCTAATATCAACCAATCTCCTGGGCCACCCGAACATGATGATTCGGCGGAAGAGGGCGCCTATGTTCAGGTACCAAACCCATCTTCATCAAAATAATGGGATATAACAGTGGGGTATAATATACATGAATCCGCATAATGATCCATAAATCCAACTACATGCTGCACGACCCTCACACAGCCGTGGCACAAACTGCATTCTGCCTTCTTGAAAATGTTCGTGGCGCTGTGGCGCCGTATCGATTTTGATATCTTGATTGTCATAATTTTGGTTTTTGAAATTTCCCAGAAACTACTTTTTATGGGCAGATCATCTGCGGGACACTTTCATTTTTTATTCCATGACCTTAGCGGACTTGTTTGGCGGCTTTACGCGACTGTGCCAAGAATGCGCTTGGTTTACACGGCCCCAGCAGCTTTCGCCACATGAACTGTTGAACCAATTTCTTCAGTTCGGGATGTTCTATGACTTGTCGGTTGCAGCCAAGACGTCTGGGAAAGCTGCGTGGAATGAATTGTTTCAGGGACAGCCTGCACACGTTTGCCCGAAAAAACAAGAGAATGAATGGGCCTTATCACATCATAGAATGCAAGAAAGGCATGCAGCGAGCATAGCATGTAACAAGTGTGGAAGTGTCTATGAACGTTAACATCCCACCCCCGCCCACCCACCCCACCCCAAGAAGAGATAAGTAACGTAGCAGAGCACACACAAGTAAAGGCCACTAGCGTAGCATGTGACAAGTGTGGAAGTGTCTATGAACGTTAACACCCCCCCACCCCCCCCCCCACCCCCACCCCAAGAAGAGATAAGTAACGTAGCAGAGCACACACACAAGTAAAGGCCAATAGCGTAGCACGTAACAAGGTCAAAAAAGGCAGAGAAGGACGTGGTCCAAGTACATCTGGTAGAATAAATCGTTCTTTTGTTCGTCATTTCACCTCGATATTTCTCCAATTTGCTTCATATTAGAGGGATCCATCCCGGATTTCCCACCCTTTTTCCCGGCTTAGGCGATGCTGAGCGCGCAGGAGGCGCTGTCCGCCAGCGATGCGGCGGCGCAGAGTGCCGACTTTTTGGCGGCGCAGGTGGATCCCAGCGACGCCATTCAGAAGGAGCCGCGGGATGGCGGTAGGGACAAGATGGGATAATGGGTGAAAGATCGTGGTAATCAATAGTGATAAATAGTGGTAATAATAGTGGTTATATCACCATTGGTAATCAATAAATGATCCACTAGTGGTAATCAAGAATAACCAATGGTGATATAACCAAGCGTGGTCATTGAGCAACAGTAATATAATGGGATGATATGGATGATGGCCCGCGGTAAGCAATAGTATGGGGATATAGCGGTGATAGAATGGGATAGCACCACTTTTTGGGGCACTTTTTTGGGGATCCGAGGAGACGCAGTCAATGATTGGAATTGACCTATAGATCAATGGGATTAAATGTGTATATAGTATATTCTACACAAACATGGGTCATGACCTTGAATATGAAGGGGATGCATGAGCACGAAAATCAGCCGAAAGTGAGGATCTCTTCAAATCAATCAACCCATTATGATAGCCCTTCCTAGAACCTGTCGCGGGTTGGCAGGAATTGGCCAAAGCACAAGATTGGGCTCAGCAGGTGAGATGGATGTGGTTGGACCCAAGTCCCCGCAGTGAACTCAATGGGAGGTGACTATGAGTCACGCGCGTGACCAGTGATGTTGAAAAGACAACTTGTCCTAGAGGTAGCTGTTCCAGATGCGGGGCCGGTGGATGTGGGAAATTCCCTGAGAGGCTCGAGCTTATGCAGAGCATGCTCAACAGACTGCAGCTGCCATGAGGAGCTGGTTGGGAACGGGAGACTCCCATTGCGACACGTCGTGACAGAAGGTTCCAAAGACTTGAATCGCATGCCATGGGTCAATATGGGAATCGTCAAGCATGTGTATTCTTGGACGAAAACAGTTGTTAGCCCAAACATGTAGAACGACATGAAATAACATGAAGTATATTTTTGCGGAAACCAGCCCAGTTGGGGTTCCCGAGATTTTAGAACGAGCAGTAGTTGATGATGCCAATGGTGACAATCATCCAATTGGATCATTCATATCACAGATCAGAAGCATCCAACACTTGGTGACGTACGTCCTGAACTTGCAGTATACATAGCTGGTTGACCAGTTGACCGTGCTGCAGCAACCTGAACCGGGTACCCCTTCACCTCAATCAGCGGTGCTTGAGGGCTGAACAGTGGTCCGTTTTTCGCGAGGTTTGACAGCAAAGATCAGAACTTGGAGCACTTGGGATGTTGTGGGATCCCGATATCTAGTCCAAATATGTCCAAATACCCTCTGGTAAACGTTTACATAACTATGGAAAGATCCACCATTTTTCATGGGAAAATCCACTATTTTGACTGGGCCATTTTCAATAGCTATGGCTTGACATAACCAGAGGGTACACCATCCGCATCTGCAGCAGCCGCCCATGGACAGCAAGGGCGAGCGCCTGCTGGCGGCCGCCACGGCGCCTGTTGCAGCGCCGCTGCCGCAGGCGCTGCGGGGACGCTGGCGGCTGAGCTTCGACCCGCAACGGCTGCGGCTCAGGGAGGAGGCCATGGAGATCTTGGAGAAGGCGCAGCCATGGCAGCCATGGGAAGGGGGAAGGGGGACCTAAACAATGTACATTAATATGGAAATACAATGAAATACAACTGATATACAATGGAAATATACTGATATATATATATATCAGTATAAGTTATATAAGCAGCTATTTTTTTTGGGTTATATGCCCACTACCATGGAGATTTGAGAGGAGATATCATGGGGATATAAACCATGAAACATAGGGATTTAACTTGATTTAATCAGCTAGAACGGCGAATTCATGGGAATATCATGGGGGTATATTTTTGTTTGGGGATGGGTGACCTAACAATGGTTCTAATTTGTGATGGATATTTTATCGCAGATATAATGGGATATAACCAGCCAACAGGTTATATGGATAAAATAAAATAATCAAATCCCCCTAAATCTAAAAACACCCTAAATACAGTGAAATATGCTTGAATCCCCTACTAAACCCCGGTTCTAGGGATGTGTTTAACAATATACAGGGGGATGGGTGTGATGGTTGAGAACATGACTTTCCGAAATCTTCTGAACTTGAACTGGCCATAACTTGTTCCGGGTACATGTCTGGACCCACCCATATGGGCAGGCCATGGTTTCTAAAATAATGGGGGCTGGTCGCAGGCAGAAGTGGGATCTTTTAGTCCCAGCGGATGCTTGGAGGAGTTTCTTGGCACTGACCTTGCTAGGAATGTGGTAAACCATCCCAACATAAGCTAAATAGAAGCGTTCCAATAGTTTCAAATGTTCCAACTAGTGTTTCCCAAGTGTTTTAGAAGTTTCCATCCCAACATGTCCAACATCAAAATTCCATGGATCTCGCGATGTCCCAAGATGTCCCAAGGTACCAGGCGAGGCCGGAGATCTTTCGCTCCTTCGCCTTGAGACAGGACTTGCACTGCCTGGTCGAGGCATCTCCGGGCTTTCTGGAGGTCTATGAGCAGCTGCTGCTGTGGCTCGGTGGATGATGTGGATGATGTGGATGATGTGGATGGCCTTGAGCTGGCGGGAAAAATCGTGGTGGCAACTAGTTGGGAAAGGAAGATCTTGGAACTTTATGGAACTTTTGGATGGGTTTATGGTAGATATGTGGTAGATATGTCTCGATATATCTGGATATACCAGCATGAATCATGATATATCAGGATGTATCCATAGGATGGGACCACAAACCAACTGACAGTGGGTAGGAGCCACGTTTCAAGGGTTGTTCCAGTTCTCCAACTGTCAAACAGCTTGCCCGCGCTCTTGGAAAGTGCCGAAATAGCCAGGTTTGGGCTGAACAAATCAAACCTTTTTGGAGGTGGCTTCCTCCCTGTCAACCACAGACAATTCTGAACAATTTGACCCCCCGAAAAGTGAGAAGTTACTCTCCCAAATCTGGTAGCCACATTAATCCGGTGGGCCCCTAACAGTAAACACTCCGTACATGGTTCCAACTATGTGGAAATCTTCTACTAAACCATGGTTTCTAAGGGGGGGTTAAACACCTTAGGGGGAAAGGATTAGGGCCATGAAGACCTTGGTCCAGTCGCCCAGCTGGGCATCTTGGCGAGGACTGTATTGCTGCCCTGGCTGAAGGAGCTGAAAAGTGCCACGCAAAAACGGGCGCAGTTCTGGTACCAATATCCTCCCACCTTGCGGGTGCAGCCGGGGCGAAGCAGGGAGTCACTTGAGCTGGGGATGACCGGGTCAACATGGGTCAACCTTGTCCCGAGAAGAGATGGTTTAAACGATGTTAAACGATGTTAAATGAATTAAAAAAGGTTGAATCAAGTGGAACTTCTTTAGCTCCGCCTGTGATTTTGGGCTTACAGCCATGGTCGCAAAACCAGTGGCTGCTGGGAAACCAACCCGACTCTTTGGAGATTGATGGCTCGACACAACTTTACGCCGAACTTGGGATGGTTTCATGATCCCGGAGGCACTTAAGTTTTGAGGCCTCAGTGTATGTTCAGTAAAACCCAACCAAAACATGTGGTCCAGGGATGTCCAGGGTGCTAACACTTTGGCACGCCATTCCTCCATTCCTCCAGGTTCAAACGGCCCCACCGGGATGCGGAGTATGGGCACCAGATTGGGGAATTGAATTGCTGGATGCCCCTGACCGAGCCTGGGACGAGCTAGGATCAGCATGACCAAATGATAGCACAGCAACAAAGGTTCCGGATCATGATTGGGGGATCGGATGTCTCCATGCTTAGCCATCTTGTTGTGGGTTTGTCCAAAAGAGGCAAACCTGCAATTTAAGGGGGACAACTGCAATTTTCAGCGGGAAATATGATGATAAAGCACCAAACATTTTGGGGTCCCCCATTTTAAATGTTCTTATGTTATTACAATTCCATACCAAGTATTTTGATAATCCATAATAATCCCTCACGATTTGTTCCCAGTTTGAAGTGCACCCCTCACTTCCGAATAAACCTCCGAGCTGTCACTTCGGTCTGAGGATTACAACTTGACGCAGACCACCTTGTCCCTCGGACTTTGGCCTTTGTAGGGTGTGACGGTGGCACGGTGTCACCCAACTAGAAAAAGAACTTGCATCAGCCAGGGCATGTTGGATCCACTCAGTCTCATCGTCACAGTTTTTGGACACCTAGTCGAAACTTGCAATGTTTCTGAGACTGAGCTGTTTTGGTGCTTTTCCAGATCCCAGATCTTTCGAATCTTTCGAAGGATCCCTATCCCTGCTGGAAATGTTTGCTTCTGGTGACTGATGCGTGCGCTCAAATGACTTCATTATTCGACGTCATGGACTGGCGAACATATCACGAAACCTTGTAACACTTTTTAAACAGCATGGGTACCAACATGCGCCAAATTCATCATGCTTTCTACACACCCATCCAATTTTTGAGGCCAAGTTGACCATGGGGTTTCTTTTTTGCCAGGTGGGTGGAATCTGAACCAGACAGAGGAGCCGAAGGGAAAGTGCCTTGAAGATGTCACTACAAGATGTCAACTTGACCACATTTTTTTTGTGCCAGGAGACTACGAGCCCCTGGACATCAGCTACGGTCAGATTGGCATCTTCCATGGAACTCTCTGTCGTCATCACGTCCCTCAGAACTCTTCAGACTTCACCCGGGTGTCGATGGACTTTCGGATTGGCCTGGGAGAGACTTGGCCATTGGCTTGGGGATTTCTGTTTTTCGCTGTGTTGGATTTTTCATGATTTTTCCAACCACGAAGAATGATAAGGGATTCATAGGGATTCTGATGGATGATGATCCATCATTGGGGGCTCTGGGAGGCTGAAGACCCAGTCAAGGCCTCGGCTTTTCCAACGTATTGAGGTATATTGAGGTGCTCCACTTAAATGGCGAACCTCGTAGGAGTCCAAGCCGTTGATCTTGGAAAAAACTGTTCCATCTTTACTCGTCCGTGCTCTTGTTTTGATATGGTGATGCGGCCGAACAAATTGAAACCACCGCCCAGGGTGGCTCAATTGATCAGAGGCGACTGGAATTGGAAAGTGCCCATGTCATTTAGGTGATTTTAGACCAGGTTCGGGGCCGATTTTTTAGTTTTTCTTGATATTTCTTGTTCATTACCTGTTCGACCCAGGGACGCAATCATTTGGACATGTTCATACTTCCAAGCCACGGCCCTACTCAAACAACGAGGAATACTTCGACCCCAGCTGGCAGCTGGACGGGGTGAAACACGTGCATGGTCGCGCTTTGGCGTGTTTGTTTTGGGGCAGGACACCCACTGGGCATCCCACAACCTGTTGACCTATCAGAAATGGGGGGGTTCTTCAGACGCGAGAGGTGCAGTTCAAAATTTGGCAAATTGAAAAGTTGGTGTCACATGTATCGTAGGCAAAGTGTATCAAACTTGGGAAAAGCCACCTGAAATTTCCCAAGTTCACAGCCTGGGGTGTCCCTGAGGCCGGGAGATTTGGCTTTGATGCAATGGATATTTCTAGTACCTTGAGGGTGACGACTTGCTGCACTTGAGACCTGGGCATCGAAAATCAGGGAAATCTGGGAGGTGAAGTGAAATCCTTCAGCCTGGGGCAAATGATCTCATTGTCATAGGCGGCAATGCAAAAGAGGGGGCACAATCCCTGTGTGCTGCTTGCGGAAAATCGTCCTGCCAATCACGACTTGGAATTTGGGTGCCAAAGTGGAATGTTGCAGCTGGTGAGTACATGGACAAAGTGGTGCTTCACTTTTGGATCACAATCTCTACATATCTCTACCAAGGGAATGGAGCGAGAGGGTCACTGAAGCTGGAGAAAAATGTACCGCCTGCTGCTGCTTCAAAGTGTGGATTTTTTGCGGTGCATAGCTCGAAG